TTTTATAGACATCTTTGACGGATCATTGAATTTAACACGCACTCGCTTTCTGCTTTTTTATGTCGGAAGTTTCACTTTTGCACGCGTTTTGTAATTGTTTAAAAGTTCATTAATTATCGAGATCGAGGAGATCAGAAGTACATAGAATGCAATTAACGACAAGAGAAAGGATAATATAAAAATTTCTGAATAATTTTTTTAACTATCGTTATATTACAATGTTACAATTACTGTATCAATAAAAAAATACTATTTTTGACATAAAAATTATAAGCAACAATTTATTTTTATTATACTTGTTTACAATAAAAACTTTTGTTTCAGATTCTGCAACATTACAAGATAGAATATCATCACGAGAAGCTGGAGTATTACATCAATCCTATGTACACGCCTAAAGGACCTCTAAACTTAAAATTTGTCGATAGGTAATAGCTTCGAAGTTCATATGTACAAAAATGAGAGAAACAATAAATTTGTTTCCAATGTTTGTACAAAAATTCGTCATAAAATGTTCAAAAGCATATTACATATAATATTTATTATATCTATTTTAATTATTCGTCGGTTATCTTGGTAATACTTTGAATTTGAGTTCCCCATCAGGAGCATACATGAATGTAACTTTGTATTTCAATGGTTCATAATGATACTCTAATTTATAAGATCTTATTAGCTGAAAATTAAAGCAAATATTTATACACACAATTCTCTAAACATAAATTGAATTTAATTAGTACTTAATAATATTTCAAACTTAGAAAGTATTAAAATTTTACCAGGTTAGATTAGGTTAGGTTGTATATTTTTCAGAAAAAATTGAAGAGGTTGTTTATATATACCTTGGCAAGCAGAACTTGCATTTCTAAATCAGCAAACCTTCTACCTAAACACATACGTGCACCATGACCGTAAGGTAACGATGCAAAAGGATGCAATCTTTTATCAGGAGAGTCCTTTAGCCATCTCATTGGCTTAAACATTTTTGAGTCTGTTACATATTCTTCCATGTTTCCCGTTATCAGTGTTGGAAACACTACTTGCACCTGTAATAGATAATAACATTTATTTTTAAATTTATGCAATTTTGCTAAAATGTCATTGTTATCGTGTCACCTACGGGTACTTATCGTACTCACCCCCTTTGGCACTCTGTAGCCACAAATAATAGTATCATGTTGCATTGTTCTACCGTTTCCAATCACTGTAGAATATACTCTAAAACAAATAATATTTTCATTAATAAAACTTGTAATTTATACTTTTGACTATTTAGTAGTAAAATATTAGATTACAGAAGTATATTAGTTAATTGGTTTACCTGAAAACTTCACGAATAAAAGCTTTCATGTAAATAGCTTTGTCAAGGTGACTGGTAGTGAGAAGAACAGATGGATCAGGAAGAATTTCTACCAATTCTTGATGTATTTTTTCCTGTTCTTCTGGTCTAGTTGCTAATTGATACAATACTGAACAAACAGCCATAGAAATCTGTAATATAACATTAATGATTAAATTTGATAAAATATGAAAAGCAAATTTTGTTATTTGTCTTACATACTGTATCTATTCCAACTAAGATTAAATCTAAAGCAAGTATGTAAGCCATTTTAGGGTCAGTTTCCTTGGTCAAAATTCTTTCTACCAGAGACAAATCATACTCGTCGAGAGCTTTTTTCGTTTTCAGTCTCTCCATTGCTAAATCAATGTATTTCATGCATACTCTGAAAGACAAAAATATCATTGTAAAGTGTATTCAATATTTATTGCAATAAATAAAAATGTTTAATTTTGAAGCATTAATTTACACAAAAAAGGTAATTATTTTATGGTGTTTAACTGACTCAACGAAATAGTCCATGTTGCGCACATATCTAGACCAGAGTGGAGTGGGAATGTATCTCCAATAAGGAGCTTTCAACTCCAGCACAGCTACATTTCTTAAAGCAAACTTTGTTGCATCAATAATCTTCTGGGGTTCTGAATCTGGTGCCAATTTGCCTCCTAGACATCCTAATCTCACATCAAGAGCAACTCGACCTATACCTATACAATTAAACAAATTTTATTCGATCTTTTTAGTTGAAATATGAAAACTTACAAAAAAAAAACCAGGAGTAAAATTCGTGCATTTAATTTTTATAAAAGTTCAGAATTTTACGTGACTAGAAATTAAGATTTATACCAACACTCTAAAGCCCATTTATGTATTTCATTGTCAAAGTCTGCTGGCATTTCTCCATCTTCATTTTTAATCTCTTCAATTCTGAAAAAAATTGAGAATTACATTTTTACGAAGTATGTCAGCGTTTTGTTGTTGATTAATTACTGTAACAATACGTATGTCATAAAATGTCGTTAACTCTGAAATTCGGCCAAAGGTCGAGGGCGTTAACATATTTATAAAGATGTATTTAAAATAACTTTACGATGCCAGACTGTGATTAGTCACCTTTTTATGAAATCAGATGTGACTACTTCGATGGGTGCTATATACTTTCTCACTGTCTGCGGCTGGAGAACAGGTTTCTGTACTCTCGTACGAAATTCTCGCCATGGCTCGCCGTGTCTGTGAACAAGTACAAATATTTCATTATGTCACTCGTGATTCGCCTGTTACCTCGTTCATAGGACTGGTGGGTCGATGCTTGGTTTCAAGGTTAAAGAAGGCCACGTGTGAGCAGAAAAAATATCGTCGAATGTGAATTTACTTGAAGGGGTACCCTAATACGATGGATTTATGTTCCGATTTGCGTTAAATATGGATTTTGTGAAATTAAAAAAAAAAAAAATTATCTTATATATACATATACACATATATATTGATCAAATTGAATTTTAAACTTTAAATCTTGAAGGTGACGACTCTGATACACGCAAATGCGTGATCGAGAATAACTATCGAAAGCATTGGTAGTCGAAGATCGAAACGCGACGTGTGACAAGAATATCAAAAGAA